AAAGAAATGCACAAAGGGAATGAAAAGAAAACAAGAGAAGAGAAAAACAAAAGCAAAGGCTCCAGAAACATGATGACAACAGTAACAACAGAAACTGCCTTTGACAACCTTCTGGCCTTTTCTCCTCTGTGCTGTGGGACAAGCAGGCCCCAGACGGGGAGGGGTCCTCATGCTCTCCGCCCTCCACTTCTGTCTCACTGCTGCTCCTGCGAAGCCCTCCCGCCCACCCCCTGCCCGCCACATGCTTGATGGACATGCCTGTCTCTGTGCCGGCCACTAATCCAGAACCTTCTGTGGGAGGGAGGGGACTTTCTGCTCTCCTGGCATTCAAGCTCTGGGTTTATGGCAAACTCTGAGCAGAGCAGCTGGGGAGAGCCAGGGGAACTGCTTTCCAAGTACTTTGGGGTTCCCAGGTCCCAAACCATCCCTGCAGGCATGAGGGTGAATCGTGACTCGAAAGCGACACAAAGAGGTGTGGGGCGACATACCCACAGTTGAAGAGGAAGGTTCCCTTTCCTCACCAAGGAATTAAGAAACTTGAACTCCAGAGCTGGCCCTCCCACTGATGGACCGGACCCCAAACCAAAGGCAGGGCTCTGTGTATGTGAGCAAGTCAGACATGCTAGCGGCTGGCGACTTTCGTGAAGGTCACCTCCCATCCTGTGTGCGTGCATCTGTGCCCAGGACTGGGAGAGTCCAGACTCACGCTGCCGATGTCAACAAGCCGTGGCACTGAGGTGACCCAGGTACGGTGGGTCCCCGGCCTTTCGGGGGGTGGGCCTTGCCTCTCATCCTGGCCGTGGCCAGGTGCAGGGCCTCAGAGAAGTCTCTCGAGCTCCCTGGGCCCTAGCCCCCAGCCCTGGGAGTCGGCCTGGAAGTGCCCACTGGGGAGGGCCTAGGAGCAGCGGTCCTGGGGTCTGCCTTGGGCTGCGAGCTGGCTGGTACTGTATGAATTGCCTGGAAGGTCCTTCCCTGGGGTGGGGCCCATGCTTGCAGGAAGGGCTCGTGCAGGACAGGGTGATACCAGTCCTAGTGTGGAAACAACACTGTCAAATAGCTGAGAAGAAATGCCAGTACACTGTCCCCAGAAACCCAAGGGGAGAGAGAGACTTGGCTTGAAATGGACGGACTCCCTGAGAAAGGAGCAAACTCCAGCAGACGAAGCTGTGCTCGCTTTGCGGGGCTCCTTCCTCTATGGGGCTGGCTCGATTCCTCAGGCCCCAGAAGGGCGTGTGCAAGGAAATCGTGGGGGCTTACCCGGCATCAGCATTGCCAAGTTGGATGCCAGGCTTTCATGTTGCAAAGGCAATTAAAATAAAGCAACTGCTATGATCTCTTTCAGGCTACGTTCATCTGAACTAAAGAGCCCTGAGGGAGCTCTTCAAGGCCACATGTGGCCAAACTCACTGCCCGCCTCCGCGCCTTCCGCCCGGCTGGGTCAGGAGCCGTATCGCGAAGCACTGTACCAATAAACGTTCGAGTATAGAGACCCAGTGCTGCTGCAGGGACAGGATTTGGAAAGTGTGGCTGGGGAGGTGGTGGGGGGGGGTGGCTAGGGTGTGTCCGTGTCTCCGCTCACACCTGGAGGCAGCCGTCTGGCACCCGGCTTGCTGCTGGGTAGTAAACGTGGGTGAACCTATATACCATCTGGGGCTGTGGCTTGGACCCTCACATGCAGCCAGGGTGTGACACCGAGCCTCTGGCATTAGTGTGTGAGCGGGGAGGAGCTGGGGTGACCGGCATCCCAGCAGGGGATAGGATTTCCCTCCCGGCTGGTTTCCTTAAGACCGAAAAACGGTTATTAACGGATGCGCTTTCTGGAGCCACTCACAGGGGCTGGCCTCCAGCCCACGGCTGAGGTCCCGTGAAATGAGGTGGACGCCATGGAGGGCGGATGCCACACCCCAGGTTGAGAATGAGCATTGTGTGTGGCTCAGGGAGGGCGGCTGGGTGCAGGAAGCCTGGGGGGGGGGCGGGGTCAGAGGTCGGCTAGAAGGTTGAGGGGGTGAGGCTGTGGGTGTGCTGAACTCCGAGGGTCTCTGCGTCTCTAACTCTCCCTCTGGCCCCGGGGACATTCTCTGGCTGCCTCTGGCCTGGGTGCCATGTGCTGGGACCCGTGTCGGTGAGCGCAGCCACCTATCACTGTGGCCCTCGGGCTCTTTGTACACAACCCGCACTGGGCCTTCTAAGGCCCGGAGGGCCTCAGGTTCTCAGTGGAAGTGCTGTCAGACCAGAGGCCTTGCTCCAGCATGTGGGATAAGGGCCAGGCTGGCCGGGCGGTGGGTGATAGATGTCCCATCAGAGCTGGGGCTCTGCTCAGGAAAACCCTGTAGCCTGCGCCCACAGCACCTTCTAGAATGCTCGGCTAGGAGCTCTGCTGTGGTCTGTGCCTCGCCTTCCTTCCGGTGAGTTCCAAGAGAGGGTGGGGACCTGCGTCTAGTCACTTTTTTCGCCGCCGCCACCACCGGGCCTTTCCCTGGTTTGCACAATGAGGGTGCTGGGCTTAATGGTTTCTCTAGGCCCTCAGAGAGTTCCAAACCAATCTGCCACGCAGTGGTGATGGCAGGAGGTGGTGTTGGTTGGTGGCTTCCAGAAGCAGGCATGTCCCCTGGTGTTGCCTGGTCCTCCAACCAGCATCTTCCTCCACAGTGGGGTCCTTTCTGAGGTGCTGCTGCTCAACTGGGATGGGCTGGGACATTGGGATCCCCTTGCTATCACACCAGCACCCTCCTCAGACAGGCACTAGTTAGATGCCCCTGGAGTAGCTCAGGACCAGGGGGAGGGGTGGTGTCTTTCGCACTGTTCTTACCAGGCACTGCTGGGCTCCCAGCGGTGGGAAGACGGGGGTGACAGATGGCTGCAGAAGGAAGGAAGGTGCTAGGAAGAGGAGAGAAAGAGGCTCCCACCAGGGAGGAAGCCCAAGGAATCCAGAGGGAGCCAAGAGACAGCAGGCCTCGCCAGGATCCTGGAGGGGAGGCCCAGGCTGGCCCTGGAGCAGAACAAGGCCAGAGGTGTGGAGAAGGCCCGAGGGGCATGACGAGTGGGGGCTGTGTCGGCTGCCTCCCCTGCCTCAAGTCAACAGACAGATGGACGGACAGACAGACAGAGAGGAAGTACGGACAGAGATGGCAAAGAAACACGTGGAAAAAAGTCACGGGTGAGGGAGGGACAGGGGCAGGTCAGTATGTGCCCCTTCGGCAGACCACGCCCCCTCTTGTCCCTTCATTTCCAGGAAGAACGTGCGCTGTCCTAGCCTTGCCCTAGCTGGTGCGCCCCGGGGAGGCTGAGTACCGTTTCTGTCCTCGGTTGACTGGAGGTAGCTGAGCCCCGTGCAGACTTGTCTGGGTGGGCTGGTAGTGAGACCCTTCTGGGACAAGGCTGTAGCTTTCCAGCCTGTCTGTGATGGCTGTTGGCCAATGTCTGTGGCCCGGGTGGGGGGCCCAGTGAGTGTGCAAGGGAGCCGGAGGTGTGTGTGGCCTGTGTTTTGGGGGTGGGGTGTGTGCGTGCACGCACATGTACGTGCTGTTTCCGAAGGGGACCACATGGTCCAGCGGGGTCTGGTGCGGCCCACATCCCTTCCTTAAAGGGCAGAGTGGCCTGAGACGACAGTTTGAGCAAGAGGAGGGATGCCCCCCCCACTGGGGACCTCTCACCAGTTCCTAAAAAAAAAAAAAAAAAGCGCGAAGAAAATGCAAAAAGAAAAAAAAGAGAAAAGACAAGACAAAAGGCAAAAGGCAAAGAGAAGAAATCAAGCAAAAAGAAAAATGCCAGAGTCTGGTGAGGGAAAAAGGCACGGTTAACAGCTCCCGTCTGTGGGGAAGTGATGTGTTCACGGAGGTGAGAGTTGCCGGGTTTCACTGGAAGGAAAGGAAAGAGGTAGCATCGAACCATCCCAGCAGGGGCTCTGGGCCCATACTTGAAAGTTTACTGCTTGGTTTTTGAGATGAGTCTGTTACAAAAGCAGGTGGCTGTGGCCGGGAGCAGAAACGTTCCCTGCATTCTCTCTCATTAGGGAAACCATGGGGCGGTGGGTTCTAAGAGCTTTCCCTTCGTCTTTGTAAAAAGATACCAGCAAACACGGAAGTTTCTATCTCTTTACGACAGCCCCTGGGTTCTCTTGAAAACGTGACTAGCATGGTGGGAATGTTTCACTGGAACATGTAGGAAGGAATCTACCTGTCCCGGCTTCTTGGAGGAAGGGAGAGAGAGAATGTGGACCAGACCACGTTAAGACCTTCCAATCCTGACGCCTGTTTGGAAAGAGCAAAGGTGCCCTGGGAACAAAAGGGACACGTGGCAGAGTGCGGGCTGGGGGTGTGAGGATGACTCCTGTTTGAGGAACCCCTCAGACACCTCGCATACGGGCAGCTCGGGGCCAAGGCCTACAGGGCAGGTAGCACCCGAGCAGAAGCAGTCGGCCACCACTGAGCCCACCTGGGGACACGTGACAGCGGCCTCCCGAAGCCCACCTCAGGTGCACTGCCTTTGGAAACCACCTCCAGGAGAGTTCTGGAAGCTGTCAGTTTAGTCCCAAGTAGGTGGGCCGGATTATTCTGTTGCGAACGATGCCGGAAAGGCACTCGCCTCCCCCTGCGGCCCTGCGAGGCGGTCCCGAGCCTCCCTTTGGCTGCCCCGCAGAACACCGACCAAGGCCCCATCCTGCCACTGGACGCCACCCGAAGCGGCCCAAGTTCGTGAAGAACCATTGGCAGATGCAGACGAGTTCAAGAAAAGCAAACCAACGACAGGAGGAACGAACAGCGAACAACCAAACAAGGCAAAGAACAGAAGGTCCGGCAGGGCCATGGATTCAGTACATTTCATAAGAGGATATGGCTTTGGAGACACACACCGTCTGGGCGGAAAGGACTGGACGGGGAAAAAAGAGAAGGAAGAGTTGGGGAGGCTTTTGCTTCCCCAGAGATGCCATTTATGAGAGAAAAGGGGACTCAAGACTCACTCCCAGCGGCACTGGTGGGATTGGCAGCAGAGAGAATTACGTGAGTAGGGGTAGAAAGATTGGTTACGTCATGGAGCTGGCTGAGGACTGAAGACCGCCGGCGCACAGC